CGGGGCCTTGGTGTTATCAGCACCGCACTCTCCCGAGTGAGCCACCGGGCCGGCCCGAAATTTCTAAATTTTAATGAATTATTTTGCTCATGAAAGTACAGTTATTCCTAATGCATATAGATTTTGGAAAGAACCATAAAACATCATTTGCCATTTTCTTCCCTCACCACAGTTTGACCTTTTTTAAAGTTCAGCAATGTATCTCATTCTTGTTATTATACTGTCAACAGAAGTTACTTGGATCGGGCCGGCCCGGTGGCGCACTGCTACAGTGCGCCGCTTGAGAGTGTGGCGGCGCTCCCGCCGAGGGTTCAGATCCCACATACAGACCGGTTCCCGCTCACTGGCTGAACGAGGTGCGGGCGCAATGCCGAGGGCTGCGATCCCATTGCCAGTCCCGGTCCGGTACAGGCACGACACTGAGGGTTGCGATCCGTTGCCGGACACGAGAAAAGACAAAAAAAAAAAGAAGTTACTTGGATAGAGAGATAATCAATAGGCCCTTTGGGGTCTGTGTCTTTCTTTTCTCTTCTTCTCCTTGCTTCCTCCTTTTCTTCCCTCATTCCTTTCTTCCCTCATTCCTTTCTTCCTTCCTTCCTTTCTTCATTTATTCCTGAGAAGTAAAATGATGCAACTTATAAGAGGAGTGTTTTTATTTACTTATTTTTTCAAAATTAAAACTGTTAAAAACTGTGCTTGATAAAAACACTTGGTAATAATTATGTTAATTTTTAATAATATAAATTTCTCAATAGTGTTATCAAAAATCATAACAAATATTAAGAATGAAATTGCTTATTATTACCAGTGTTCTCATTTTATTTATTTATAGGCAGATAAAGTCTATTCAGTGCGATTATAATTAGACTGATATTTTTTCAAGTGCATATAACAATATTTATGCATTCATGAGAATCAAAATTCAGAACACTGTTAGACCTTCTCTCAGAATTACTTTGAAAATGTTTGCCAACAAAATGAAATTTCATTACCTTGCAGCTGTATCTTATTTGTGTGTATGTACTTTTTTTTTTTTTAAAGATGGTAAGGCAGACTTTATTCAAGGGGAGCCACAGCGATAGGTATAGGACCACTGAGTGGGGTCTTGCAGTGGGGAAGAGAGATTGTACTCAATCTCCTATGTATATGTGCTTTTAACTCAAAATAGTATTACCTAGTTTGATCATCCCTTTAATCCACTAGAAAATCAGTGCACCTTGAAGATAAGAATGGTGAGCACCTCTGCTGAAAGATGGTATGGATCCCTGAGGTAGTATATGGTCTCCCAAGGCCATTGATTTGAAAACAACACTTAACTTATTTCAGATGTGAATGTTTGTATTCTAAGTAAGAAATAAATCACATTTCCTTAGCTTAAAAAGGCAAAAGAACAAAGCACAGCAATTTTGTTTTGATTGTGCCTTTCCTTTAGCAACAAAGGGGCCTTGTGATTATGTCAGTACCATTTGTGTAAGTAAGTAATTTGAATGAAGACAATTGAATTATTTTATGTAATCTACTTAAATCTGTATTTAAAAGAGGTGGATATACTTAACATATATCCTGATTTCATTAGTGCAGACCAGTATTAGAAATTGTTTTAGAATTTGGCACATTGAATTTCATGAACATGTTAGAAAGGCTTTATGAAGTAATTAAGTTTTAAAGAGAACATAATGCAATGAAGGTGAAGATCAAAATATCTTATTACCACTTAAATTTTGTGTCACAACTATTCATGATCTTAGGTTCGTCTGCCTTTGTTGCCAGTTGATTTTCTTATGGGTGTTGTGGCAAAAGAACAGATCGTCAAGCAAAATCTGAAATGTAGAGATTTATTGGATGAAGCAAGAAATTACCACCTTCATTTGAGTAGCAGAGCAGTACCTGACTTTGAATACTCTGTTCGGACTACTCCAAGGAAGCATACTGCTGGTAATTAAATTACTCATTTTATCAACTCTCTCCTGGAAGTGTCTTTGTTGTATTTGAGGGTTTACATGTGCCCAGACTTAATTGCAAGATTGTCCCGACCTGCGGGATATCCAATGCAGACCCTGGAGGGGGGAGTGGGAATGGGATGGAACAAGAGACGTGAGAAATTGAGACAAGAAAGACAAGACAGTATTCTGATCAAGTCTCGTTTATTAGCCAGAAGGTCACAGCTTATATAGACAGCAGGAGGGAATCAGCAGATAAGGAAGTAAGCAGCAGATGGTTTACTGAGAAAACCGCAGGGCGGGTTGTTCCGGTAAATGGCAAATTCTCGTTATCTATGGCAAGTTGCAAAGTTACTTACACCCATAGTGCACAGGAGGGGGAGGGACGGAAGATAACAGCAAACAAGGCTCTGAGGCCTCGAGGCAATAGCTGGGCGGGCTCTTTGGCTCCAGACAGGCAGGCAGGCTCTTAGGCAACAGCCGGGCTCTATGGCTCCGGACAGGCAGGCTCTTAGGCAACAGCCGGGCTCTATGGCTCCGGACAGGTCCCCCTTTTTTATTTTTTCAAGCCCCG